AAGTGCTCAGCTTAACGCTCTAAGCGTTTTGATAAGTTGTGGATAGACTGTCCACCCCGCTGGCACCACGGGGAGGTTGTTCGGCTAGCCAGATGATCGGTCTGCCTCTTCTAAAGCCGACAAATAATCCAGCGATGAATGCTTCTACTGGAGTCTTGAAATTCACGGGTGAACTTGCATTCTGTATTTTTCAATAATATGTAGTTCTGTGGCTTGTGTCACCTTAAAATCGACCAAATCTAAACATTCTGGGCCTTGATTGGATCGCAAAACTCCGGCTCTTTTACACCCCACTTTATTCTGTGTGTTTGCAGTTGTGTGTTCAAGCTGTGATCACTCCTCCCTGTAATGTGCTGTCAGAGCGTTTGCGCCATAAATTCACTCAAGTATTCCGGGATGAGCTTGGTTGCTACCCGAAAACTAAGGCAGTATTGTCCCTCCGCCCTGACGTAAAGCCTGTTTACTGACCCCAGCGTCCAGTACCATGTGTGGCGTTACCAAGCGTGAATCAGGAATTATGGAGACTGCAACAGACTGACATCCTTCAATCTGTGGATTACTCCTCTTGGGCTACTCTTATTGTAGTGGTCATGAAACCATATGTTTGTACAGACTGGTCTAAATGATGCTCTGGAAAGTCACTAATATCCGTTGCCTCTGCCGGATGATTTGTTCCCAAAGCTAAGTGGGGACAAATGTTTCGCTAAACTGGACTTGTCGGATGCAGACCTCAAAGTGAAAGCTTCTGAGGATTCACAAGCGCTTCTGGCTATCAGTACTCACCGCGGTCTTTTTCTATACATTCCTCTACCATTTGGAGTAAAAATGGCACCTGCCATTTTTTAACAGATTATCGACACCATGTTACAGGACGTCCCATCTGTTGCAGCATATCTTGACGATATCATTATCATGAGCACTGATCCGGCGGATCTACAGGACCGGCTTTAAAACGTGTTTATTCGGATCCAAGCTTATGGCCTTCGCGTTAGGGTAGAAAAGTGTGTCTTCGACATGGATTCGGTAGAATATTTGGTATTCATCATTGATCAACATGGTCGAAGACCAGACCCCGCCAATATTGAGGCCATTTAGAAAATGCCTGCACCACATGATGTGCCGACGCTACGACCCTTCATGGGATTGGTGAGTCACTACAGTGCATTTGTACCAGCAATACATGATATACGGGGTCCACTGAACGCATTGCTTCTCAAAGATTCTAAGTGGTGTTGTAGCAGGGAACGCAGTCAAGCTTTTGACATGATATTATTGTTGCTACAGATGCTCCTAGTTAAGGAGTCAGAGCGATGGTATATCACCGCTTTCCTGACGGCACTGAGAACGCAATTGCTCATGCAGCCTGATCGCTGATACCCGCAGAACGTAATTACAACCAAATTGAAAAAGAAGCATTGGCGATCATCTACGCCATTAAGAAATTTCACCAAATACTTCCTGGCCCTCATTTTACTCTGGTCACGGATCACAAGCCCCTACCTGCTATCTTCGGTTCCAAGAAGGGCATTCCCGTGTATCGCCTTCAGAGGTGGGCCACAATGCTTTTGGAACACGATTATGAAATCAAGTACCAATCGACTGGCAACATTGGTCAGGCTGATGATTTAGCTCGCCTCTTGGACAAAGAACGACCGGAGCCAGAGGACGTCGCGGTGGCAAGCATCTCGATCGAGCCTGAAGTTCGTTGCACTGTCGCGGATGTAATTAAAATTATCCCAGTCGCAACCTCATGATCCGATGCTCCAGCAAACGATCCGCTTTGAAAGAGCAAAAAGGCCACGGAAGATTGAAGACAGTAAACTGAAACAGTTTCATCGACGTCGCAATTCGCTGTCGATTGCCAATGGCTGTCTACCTTTTCAGGAGTAGTATTGGTTCCCAAGCAACGCTAGCCGAGGGTTCTGAAGCAGTTCCACACCAGACACCCGGGAATAAAACGTATGAAGGCATTGGTCAGAAGCTACCTGTACTGACCCCATCTGGATTCTCAAGTTGAAGAGTTTGCCCGCTCTTGTTCCAAATGCGCACTTGCTTCGAAGTCGCCGAAAAATACGGAGCAGCACTGTTGGCCGAATCCTGGGAAACCATGGCTGAGGCCACTCGTCGATTACGCTGGACTTATTAATGGAAAAGATTTGCTGATCCTGGTTGTTGCCTACATTAAGTGTCCAGAGGTACTGCACATGCCATCAACTACTGCCTCAGCGACCATTACATCAATTCGTCAGGTTTCCAGTCGCTTCCTCCAGCATCAAGTTTCACTCATCCGGGTTAGAGCAGAGCGCACTAAATTGCCAACTGTCCAATAGTAGATGTTAGTCTTTCTCAAAAGGTCTCCCTCCCGGTCACTTGGATGTGAACGACCGGAGTAATAGCCATATGCATGCATTTGGGTACAGGTCTACTTGCCAATCTCGTCTATCGTGAGAACGCTGAATGGGCACGGATGGTTGAGTTGACGTCAACTACGGCATGCCACAGGGCAAGTCCACCGATCGATACATACCGTGTTTCGGGTTGATTGGGATGAATGCAAGCGTGCAAAATCAAGACAGCAGTGCATCATTACCGAGCTACTACGGTAGACTTGTGGTGGCGCTTGGACAGGTCTAACTGACCTGAGCGAGGAGTGTTCAATAGGTGCTTAGTGTTATCCCAGCTAATGACAAAGGGTTATTGGCAGCGCTCTTGTAGACTGAAAGTTAGCTTCCAACAACCCATCTTAACAAAGTAGGCCTTCCTTACAATTAGGCCTTGCAAATATGAAATATGAAATGATTTGAGAAAGGAGTCTTGACAAGCTATGTCGCCTAAAGACTACTCGCTGCCGCATAGCCTGTTCTGCCGTCACATTCTTGAGCGTTCATTCCAACATATTCACTGATGAGGCAATATTCCATTAGCATGGAACTGAGAAGCTGCGTTTCTAGGCAATATCTAAACCTCGCGGATACTGAGATTCACGTATTTCACACATCGCGAAGCTTATTGGCTCGCAAAACTGATTGACAAATCGTGGGTTCTCACGCATACTGTCCACCACAAGCCAGTTATCCCTGTGGCAAATTTTCTCACACATATTCTGTAAACTCCGATTATGAAATTCAAAATGATCGATAAACCATGCTTTTACGGTCTGTATTCTTATTGGAAAATCGTTGGACCATCTTTCTTTCCTTTTTATGTGACCGGTATGTTATTGTTTAGAAGCGGTCAACTTACGCCGGAGTGTGTCCGCCGATGAACATGATAAAAATACAGAACCGCGTCGCCTATTCTCACACCACTAGCTCGTTTACATCCACCCCGGTTTTCCTTAGGCATAACCGTGAAAAAAGTACTGGCATTGTGAACCGGGTTGCATAGAAGCGGTGAGTTTAAGCGCTGTCGAATCAGCTTAGCTTGTTGAATACATTCTGGCCCGACGCACCTTTGGCATCATTAGCCCGTGCACCAATTTAGTCCAGCAATCAGGGATAACGGTGAATAAGTATATTAAAATAAATAGTATAAAGCGGTGATTTGTCCGTCAACGAAGAAGATGCTCAACGTGCCCGCCGGCGTTATCCTTGTAGTGCGGAAATCGCCTGAGGCGATAGGCTATGACATTTTGCATTTTCTGTGTTGATGGCGCGACATTCGTTGACAATACTGCCTTTCAGTTGTTCCACTGGGATAGGCCTTGTCTTGTAAACTCTTCTTTTCACATAATCCCATAGGAAAAAGTGTAAGGGGTTCAAATCTGGTGACCGGACAGGCCGATCCTTTGGACCTCTGCGACCGATCCACTAGTGACCGAACACCTCGTTAAGATAATCCCGCATCGTATGTGCATAATGGGCAGGCGCATCATATTGAAGATATAAAGGCTGAAGCGAAGTCGCCAACGGGAATCTGTGGTGAAAACTAGGGATGCTACATTAAGGCTATAACTAATTTGCTTCTACTTTTGGCTATAATGCGATGGTTGTCTCTTCTATGTTCGTATACAACGGACATAGCGTCCAGTGAGTTGCGTCATTACCTGAGAGTCTGTCCACTTTCATCTGCCCTGGTTGGGGCCTACTTGGCGCTGCAAAGTAGGTCGTGGTATATCCAACTTAGCTAGCAAATTATGTAGCCCAGCCTGCGTCCCCCATGGCTTGATGGCTTAAACTTCTGGGTAGCTGGCGTCGACCTCTAGCGGTCATTGTTTCGATTCCCAGTAGGTTACCGGGTGAATGCGCACTGCTGACCAACCCCAAGGGGGTGAAACGCGTCTGGTGCTTTTCGGGTTGTGGCTGGGCCATATAGCTTTGGATCTACTGGGACGAATACATTTAAATTACAACAAATATCCTCTGCTCATACGTGATACAGTAGTTTGTATAATGATTCTGTGTTTCCGTTGTACCTTGTGATCGGACCAGCTAAGCTGGTCCGAGCCTCACCTAGTGGAGAATATACCGATTTTAGTTTCCATGTGCAACTCAGCCAACTAATCATTGAGGAACCGTCGGGCCAACTATAACTAGTGAGTGCTGACCAATTCAAGTTAACGCGAACTTATCATAAGAGGTATATTTGGAGCTGTGTTCTAATTGATTAGGGAAATATTCGAGCACCTTTTATCTCGGCCGAATTACATGGCCGGAAAGTGTTGTCCAATATCTCACATTTGTGCTTGATGTATTTTGCCGCCGTGTTGCCAACGTAGCAAGCAGTTTCACTTCTGCCAAGCAGGTGGCCTTTTAACCTTGGGTTTGGTGGACACCTTAGTTAGTTAGTTACTGCTGGCCTGCTGTTAATGGGTTTTGGCCTATTTTGGAGAAGAGGAGCAGCTGTTTTCCGTCTTGACCTGAAAGTTTGCCTCAAATCTTTGCTCTAGTCATCATTTTTGTTCTGTCTCGTATATTAGCTTACCGTTCCTAAGTTGGGACATAACTGAAGCCGTTTATGTGTACTTAGCTCACTCCTGAGTTTGTGGTTTTGTTTAACAGGACAAAGTGCGGCCGAGGTCACAGAGGAAACAAAGTTTGGATCTCCGCTTTTGTAAACCGAAAACCGAATCTGCAAAGGAGCATGAAGAAACGGCAGCCGCAAACAAGAAAACATTTTCCACCAGTCGGATTAAAAAGTCGAAAATCATTTCACTTCAGTATTCGGACACCGAGGGTGAATGGCTGAGCAGCGGTGAGGAATGGACGCCAGAGAATGATGCGCTAGATTCCAAAACTCGGCACACTGCTCGGCGGTCATGCAAGCCTATACAAGACTCTTCCTCTGAATCCTTGGCGCTACGTCACCGATCTGCAATTGGAGCAGTGATGGCGCCTGCTGTTTCTGAACAAGGTATTCATTAACACGAAATTTGTGCACTCTTGCAGATCGGCGCTACCCTTTTCGTATGAAAAAGCAGCCGAACTATTCAGTATCCGTCCAAATTCCTGAGGACGACAGATTCCTTTGTAAGTTACACTTTACACACTGCAACTACAACCCCAGGCGTTTCCTCTGCATAATCCCTTATCCCACTAATGCTTCACTTTATTGTCTAAAGATTGGCTTCTTTGCATAATACGCTTTAACCACTTGATTATTGGAGACCTGGCTAAGATTTATTCATGTACGTACCACAGAACTGAATCCACTCCACTCATATTACACGTATCGCTTAACGGATATTGCGTTGACTCCTAAGGATCACAAAGTTAATCCACTTTAGTTATTCGGTAATGATTCATATGGTGGCGTTCAGTGGTAACAGTTAATTGCGTTGTCATGAAATGAATAATGGACAAAGATAGAGGGAAGTGAGAATATGGGAAACCAAATAAAACCACGCTTGAACGCGAAGTACCGGTAACCTCTTGGTTGTACCCTGTTCAAAGAGTACAGATGAAGTTAACTTAGATGCCCCCCTGTCGGAAGACTGGAGACACCAGAGAGATTCAGTCCCTCAATCAGTTCATTCATGTTGCTTCACCACATCGCGTGAGCTTGCTCCTTCAGAGCTATGCCTATTTAAAGAAAACGCTTCCAAAATGTGATTGGTTAGTATATAACTTTACCATCGTAGCCAGTTCAACATCACGGATCAACAATGAACTGCTATCTGGAAGAAAGTTCACTTGATTGTTTAGTGGATGCGTGGTGGCCGCCACTGATCCATACAGTAGTTGTGGTTTCACAATGTTTAACTGCTAGGCTGATGTCGTCCTTCTACATAGATGACTGAGGCTTTGAAGGGTTACATCAGCCCGATCACCGTAATAACTCTTTCAGCTACCTAAGTACGCGATGAGTCAAAGTTACCTAAGCGTGTGAGTAAACTGTCAGGTTGGCTCATTCACTCAACCGTGATGAGCAAACCGAAATGGGTTAGAATTACTAGCTATAGCCCGCGTCGATAGCGTTACGGGAGAAGGCGTGAATAACCACATATTTATGTTAGGAAGGGTACTGAATCATTATTCTCTTGCTAGCTATTCGGGCTGCCAGTCAGGCTCAAAGTACCAAACTGAAGATCACCATTAGCTTGTGGACAGCTTCATCTAGGAAACGCCTCTAACCACTGTGCCCTTTTTGATGTCTCTGTTCATTGTGACGACATGGTCCTGACGCGGTGCAATTGTGTTGCAACTCCTCGGCCAATCAGGCCCTCCGAGTTCCTTGAGATCTATTCCTGCCAATCTGGTCTGTGGCTAGAGATCAGACTAACTCTGACTCCTGTTCCCCCACTAACATATCTTTGTAACCCAAATGCCAGTGATTGGAGTCTGTGTGAGGTGCGAGTGACCTCACAATATCCATGTACCGCACTCGCATAGCGACGGCCGTGTGGTAGCGAAGGGCCGGACCGCAGATTGTTTCAGACAACGCGTGGCTCCTCCAGATGTTCTAGACAGCCTGCGTCATTTGCGTCGAATGTCGCTGATCTGGCAGCCGTCGCCCCACTGTTTCACATATTAGATGTTGAAGACCTCCCTCGATGTTTGCTTGACAATTGGTGTCTTGGGATTTCAGAAAATGTTCATCGTATCCTCAACTTGCGATCTATCTGTCTTGTGTAGCTATGTGGCATCTTCAAGATGTCATACATTCAAGCCCGACTGTTCGTGCATGTCTCAGACCATCGTATCACGTTAATACACAGTCTCTTAGCGATGACTTAACGAGTATGACAATGAGCGACAGTGTTTTTTTTACCGAATACGACACTGCTCACTTTATTGTTCTTGCTTCTTGCAGCAGACATGCCTATCCTGGGCCTTGATTCCATTAAGTAGCTTGGTTTCATTTTTTAACAGTGAAGTTATTGCATTCATATCAAACGACGATGGACATAATTTGCTTCTATTCTAGTGTGTGCTGGAGTGATAGAAAGGTTTACGGATACACAGATATGTTGCTAGTTCACCGCTGACACCATCTGGACAGCAAACATAATTGGCGCCCTGACTTAATTTTTCTACACTGGATTCATCTAAATATGCCTATTTTATGTCTACTCTCATTAGACGAAGCCTATGACGAAACTTTGCTTTCTTGGCCTATCATCTGTGAGCTCTCTACAACTCTGTTTAGTTAACTGGTGCTAATTTTCAGACCGATTATTAATTGGCGCTCGTCTTCCTCTCATGTATTTCCTGCGTTCTTCTTTTTACAGATTGTTATGAGTGTGGTAGCAGCATAGCTGATGGATGTACCAAGCATCCCGTGGATTGGGTTGAGAATAGACCTTTAAATGTATGCGAGGGGACAAAGGACAAGCTTGTACTGTTTCAAACACAGAAATGCGTCTGCGATAGACAGTACTACCTTCACACCGCCAACACAGCTCCTAGAGATTGGGTGTACGTTGCCCCATCGGCAATACCTGGTGCTGGTTTTGGCGTTTGGTGCAATAGGGATATCAAGTGCGGTACAACGTTTGGCCCTTATGACGGCGAATTCGTTGCTCTAGACGAAATAAAGGAAGACGAATTTGCCAGAGTAAGTTGTGCTGGTTGGTCGTTCACGTTTTACACTGGCCAGAGTTCGGACCACTATTTACTTATATCCAAATAGCCCTTGTAGTAATTTCCTCTAAACAAAATGTGTTTTGGCTTTTCTTCGGCTGCGATTATCCCTGCCAGACCATCCTTTACAGCCTCCGATCAGCTTATGCAACCCGAGTATTTTATCCGCAAGGACCACATGAATCGCTTATTCCCTAAAACCCTTCTGGATAGTTAAAAATTCGGTATTTCCTAGTTTCAACTAGTCACTGCAGTTCCCATCCACAATTGTAGTTATAAATTGCGTCATGGTACCGTTGTTTGCAGTGACGATGATGCGCAAAAACTGCACCAACGTAACACGGATTCCGCGACGCTGGTGCAGTTGCGCCATAAGTACGATCAATGAATCAAAGCCCATTCTTGGAATTCCTAAACCGTTTGACGCTCATATCTCAATGGTCCCCACACCGCGAATACCACTTAGGCGAGTCTTCAAACGGCCATAGTCAGGAACACATTTTCGATAAGCGGCTTTCACCAGATTGTCCTTGCCGTTGCCTCCTGGTGGTTAAGCCGCGTTAGTTAGTCACTTTTCAGAGAAATCTTTGGTTTCTTCCCAATCATATTGAGATGCTTAGTCTCGTCGAAGTTCGATCTGTGAAGGTTGTACATATTTCGATTGGCTGCGTTAATGTGGCAATCAGTATGCCCTGCCTTCATTGATATTTCGCACTTTACTTCTCAAGTCCACTTATGGGCCGCTGTTGGTCAGCTGCTGTGTGGCGTTGTCGCGGCTTCTATACTACTCAAACCAGGCGTAGTAGTACCTGCACAGGATCAGTGTAGAAGCCCGAGATATGAACAGTTATGCATCACGGCGAATATCCTTAATCATATGCATCAGTGCTGACCACCAATAGTTCCATTCATCTGTAAGCTCTCTCCTGAAGGGTGCATGGCACCCGCTCCTTCTACATCTATTTCCATTTGAGGCTTCCGTGCATCATCATCATCATCATTATACACGTTAGCTAGAGGTGGGAAACACCTCAGCTACTGTGCCGCAATACACAAAAAAGGAGAAAAAATGCAACTGGTGCAAGCCGACTGAGCTACCGGTAACGGATGGGCATCGTTCCGATAAACTACCAGCCGGCTACTGTGCATAAAAAATTACTATGCAAAATTATATAAGGCTAAATAATGCGATCGTGGTTGGAGGGGGAGGCTAAGAGGGATGGGGTGGGACAAAGAAACTCACAACACGAACGCCTTGGTAGGGCTTGGTAATTATGTACTACTGACACTTAACACAGTAATATCTGTCCTCAGCCCCTCACGCAGTGACATGCTCACATCACTTCTCCTAAAAATAGAACGCAACACTGCGTTCAGGATCGGGAGGGTTTATTCGACGGCCACCACAATGTTATCTACCTGGGGAAACGCCTCATTTGCCAATAGTTTCAAATCAGGCAGCAGGGTACCACAGACTCAAGTGTTTTCTGATCGCGATCTATTTATGCCTTCAAGAACTTGGTCATCTTCACTTCATCATACTGTCCTGCTCTCAGCGGTTTCTTGCACTTACGTGGGGTGTTCTCGTACTCATACTGTACAGGCATACGCGTTCGGCCTTAACTTAGTACATTGCTGTTATTTCGATGAAACCACATAGTGAGGACCCAAAATGGAAACTACTGTCACGTCTTACGGTCGCACTTCAACGAAGTTAGGGATCCCATCCAAACTTCACATCGGAAGCAAGTCTGAAAGAAGTGCTACTTTTACTATGCAATATTGTCTCAACTCTGTGTGCATGATGCAAACTGAGTTCCCAAAGGAACTAACTATGATGTCTGCCAAACCCAACCCAAGCAATCACTGATAATACCGCCACAAACGGCCAGCAGCCAACCATACAACAGTCCATGCAACCTCTTATCCTCTTATCTTAGTCTTTTGGATCGCTCCTCGGAACCTAAACACTCCTACATGTAAACCAATGCCCAAGGCTTCCTTAGCGAAGCCGCCGAGCTTCGGCTCCATAAGGCAACAAAGGCTTGGGATCTAATTTCCACAAACCAGGCTTGATTGTACTCAGAGGTTACGGCTACCGTGATTGCGATTCAGGGAACGTCGCTGTTCCGACACGATCGTCCTAGCATTGAAGGTGGTGTAATCCCGTGTGATCGCAAGAACTTCCAATACGGAGTATTGTATGATCCGGAGACGCCGGTCACCGATTCGTTATGGTGCCATTTGCATCTCAAATACAATTACAAGTGCTTTGTGACAGTCGTTTAGCGCCCCCTATCGTCCACTCCAAAGTCGAATTCCCGCCAAATAACAGCACTGTCAAAAGGCTTACTCCAAACATACAGCCACGTTCTTTGATTTTAATTTGCATAACCTGGAATCTTCGGCATCCCCCAAGCGCTCTATTCAAGATCGAACTGCAAGACCTCACAAGTATTCCACTGTACACTCACATCACCTCACTTGCCACATACAGAGTTGATAACAAATCAGCGGTACTGGACTTCGTGCTTACAATTGAGGAACTTATGGCGACTGGTCATTTATAGACATTTATAGAGCTAAGTGATCATGTTACCATACTTTAGGACTATGTTACACTGAATATCTGGGGGAACACAGTGAACTAACACGTACCATCACACGCCACAACATCCTGAACGATGTACCTGCGACGACTGATTGGGAATTCTTAAAAGACGGCTTCCATTCACAGCGCCTGGATTCAGCTTGTTAGACGTCTCAACAATCTGGTCGCATCTGTCTCCAAAGCAAAGAGGGATCGTTCCATTAATCCATCGTCGTTCATCAGAAGTGGAACTCGAAAATGCGTATCATTAAGGAATGCAGATTGGCACGGTTACAGAGCCCGCCCTGGTCCCGAAACTTGGAGCGACTACATAACACTGCACAACTATTGTACTATGCTTGTCCGTAAAGACCAACTGACTCACCAACAACGTTTGGCTTGTAAATTTGCCAACCACAAAAAGCTCATTTGGAGGCATGTTAACACCATTCAGAAAGTGAAGCACGGTATCCCGCCACTTCACACGACAGTCGGAGTGGTACGGGGCGCTGAAGAACCAGCCAACGATCTACGGTTGCAGTATGCCCCACCCTTCCAACAAAATGTCCTTTGCTGTTACCTACCTACGCCTATAGCCCCAATTCCATCACCTCCTAACATGTCTTTTACTGCTACATCTGTGTTGAAGAAACAGTTTTCACTGCACATCTACACTTCTCCCGGAATCAATGACATTCACCCGAGAGCACAAACAATGTTGGTCCAGCCATCATCGCTTTTCTTCCAAACATGCTTGGATGAGCAAACTGGAGCAAACTGAGGAAACATGGCATAATCACGCCAATTTTAAAAAGTAATGACCGTTCAGAACCCGAGAAATATCGTCCATGGGTCCTTCTCCCTTTATTCTCAAACGTTGTGGTGGCAATCATCACTGACCAACTGGAACGCTAAAACATTTTAGCGCCCGATCAGAACGGCTTCCTCCAACACCGTTCGTGAACAACCAACCTGCTGGTTGTGTGCATTAGTTGGACAAAGGCGGCCGATAAAGGTAAGTGGACCGACATCATTTACCTCGACTTCTCCAAATTCTTCGACCGACTGGACTGCTGCATTCGGCTGCATAGACTCGAAAGCTATGGAGTTAGGCTCCAGTCCTTGGGTGGACCAGGGATTTACTGCAATGTCGGCAACTTCAGGTCAGAATTAGAAGTACGCTGTCCGATCCGGTTAATGTCGAATGTAGAGTTCCACAAGTATCATTTTTGGATCCGCGTCTGTTTCTCGTGTTCATTACGCGTTTGTTTCCTTGGTTTTCTGTTGTTCGCTGATGATTTTAAGATTTGGCTGGCGATCGCCGACAAAGCAAATTACGACGCACTTCAGCGAGACCTGAATAGAGCGTATGAGTGATTACTCCACCATCTGCCACCGTTTAATTTGTCTGAGTGTGGGATCATTCACATTCGTCACCAGCAGGACATCATGTACAAGCTTGGAAACCTTGTCCTGCAGGCAGACACACACGAGCGCGATTTTGGCGTATTAATCCAAGCTGAGATCAGCTTGGATTAATATAATACTCAGAACAATATGAGAGCCAACACACTGACATGCTGCGGAAGTCTTTCGGCGGTTTGGTTCCTCTATGTGTTCGCAGTTGCTTAACACATACGTGCGCTCTGATGTGGAATAGGCAATCCAGCTCTGGCAGCCCTCGTACAAAGACGTCACGTAGCACTCGAGACTCCACAGCGAAGGGCCACGAAGCACGTTAGAAGGCTGCTCCATCTTCCATATCAACTTAGGCTGAGGACTCTAAGATTGTACAGCGACTGTTATCGACGCCTACGTGGCGACCTTATAATGACCTTCGAGATTTTGAATAACCCCAAACACGTCTGCTGCCACCCATTACAACGCGGTTACAACACTAGCTTGTGGAAACACCAGCTCAAGTTGGCCATTCAATACTGTCTGCTAGAATGTCGGCGAAATCTTTACTCCTTCGTGCGTGCCAGCTATAGAACGCCATCCCAAATTACGTTGTTTGCGCCCCCGCTAAATGTGTTCAAAATACGCCTTCGCATTACCATGTGTACATCGGCGGACGATACAATGTGACGATGGTTGCACAACCTGCACTAAGCCGCACTTTTGAAGTCGGCTCCGTTCTGCATACATCTGCGTGCGCAATGTGGAGAGTCCACCAAAACCATTTGCATTTTGTCCTTTTGCTTTTTATCCACCATATTATGCTTTTCATTCTGATCATCCTACGGAACTTGTTAAGCATTCGCTTTTTTACTCCTATTTTACCATTGTGCCATTGTTCCATTGAACGCTATTATGTGAACCTACAGTTCAGTAATAAAATGTGCAAACTACCCATTGCCCTCTGGCTTATTGAACTAATGTAC